AGCTCGATACGTCTAGCTATGTCGATATAAAGCTCGTAGTTCATTCGATGTCGATATTCGCGAACGACGCATATCGGCCCGTAGATCTTTAGGAGAACTTTTCTCTGAAACACTCTGCCTCATCTGCTTGCGCAGATCCATATAGCAGCACGGGTAATATCAGCGTCTTGTAAAGTGTGAGTTTAGTCTGGCGGTAGGTGGCCTTGTTTCTAAACTGCTTACTTAGACTATAGTGGCATCTGTTGGCCAACGCTGTCTTTCTCCGTATCTCAAAACTAATGACATGAGTTTTATTTATGGCGGTACCGAGTTAAATGAAATCTTTGACTACCTCGAAGCTGTAGTTCCACAGTTGGTCCCAGGCTACTGGACGTCTTGCGCGTTGATACCATCAGCTTAGTCGTCTCTCCATTTACTGCCCGGCCCACTTTGGCAGACTCCTTCTCAATTTTTTCAAAGGTGGCTGTTACCGCACGCAATGTTCTACTCATTATGTCGATGTTATCGGCCTAGGCAGGATTTTAAAAAGGTCACACGAAAGGCTGTCACCTTGTCTGAACCCTATTTCGGCTTCGAAAGGTTTTTTCTGACTTTTACTGTTGACATTGTGGCACTTAAAGTTATCCTACATAGCCATTTTAATTTTCAGGAATGCCCAACTCAGACATGACTTTAAACACCTCTAAACGAATAGGGCTGCCGAATGCTGTTTTATAGTCGAAGAATAAATTGAATGTTTCGATGTGTTGTTCGTGGGTCTTTTTTCAGGATTTGTCACAGAGTGAAAATCTGGTCTATGGTGGATTGAAGCCGGAAACGTATGGTCCAATAACGTCATTAACCATTGGCTTTAGTCGTTCACACAGCACGCTGGATATCACTTTATATGCGATGGAAAGGAGGCTAATTCTTCTATAGTTGATACATATCGTCTTGTCTCCTTTTTTGTGTCTTGTATCCATTTTTGTGTACGGGAACCAGGATGCTGAGGTTCCAATCATTGGGCTTGCATTCCTCTAGCCAATCCTTACCAGCATCGGACGACCAGTCTTGAATAGTTCGGTTTGAAACCCATCGGCACCTGCTGCTTTATTATTATTTTTCACCCGATTGATTGCTATTCAGACCTCATCTTGACTAGGTGGTATACATAACAGGTTTCCTTCATCATCTCTACATGAGGAAGCCTTCGGTTTGGTGTTTTACTCGTTTGTAAAATTTCCGGACTTCGTTCTGACTCCTGTAAAAATTTTACTAAACAGCTGATTCATGCTCCTTAGCAGCATCGGACGACCAGTCTTGAATAGTTCGGTTTGAAACCCATCGGCACCTGCTGCTTTATTATTCTTCACCCGATTGATTGCTATTCAGACCTCATCTTGACTAGGTGGTATACACAACAGGTTTCCTTCATCATCTCTACATGAGGAAGCCTTCGGTTTGGTGTTTTACTCGTTTGTAAAATTTCCGGACTTCGTTCTGACTCCTGTAAAAATTTTACTAAACAGCTGATTCATGCTCCTTAGCAGCATCGGACGACCAGTCTTGAATAGTTCGGTTTGAAACCCATCGGCACCTGCTGCTTTATTATTCTTCACCCGATTGATTGCTATTCAGACCTCATTGTGGCTAGGTGGTATACACAACAGGTTTCCTTCTTCATCTCTACAAGAGGAAGCCTTCGGTTTGGTGTTTTACTCGTTGGTAAATTTTCCGGACTTCGTTCTGACTCCTGTACGCTCACGTTTTTCTGGTTTATTCTTCTTTTTTCTGAAAATACGTTTCTCCTCTCTCCATTTCTCCCGATAATTCTATCTGGCATTACGTGTTGCTACTGTTTGCAGGGTTGACCTATACGCTGCGTTTTTCATATCAGTAGCATTACGACACTCCTGATCGTGCCACGGATGCCTTGATGGTGGTCTTTGGTACAAAGTGTTGAGTGGGCAATTCTTTAGCAATGTGCTTCTATGCTATTATCGGGACAAGAAGTGCTTTCGTCAAGCAGGTGGGTAAGTTGAGCGGAGTAGGCCTCTGCTACCTGTTGTGTTTACAGCTTTTCGACGTCGAGTATCCGTGTTGTGTTAGATTGCACCTTTGCTGCTACATTAAGACGGGTGCGAACCTTGGCTGCCACAAGGTAATGGTCCGAATCGATATTCGCTCCTCGTATCGATCGAACGTCTAAAACACTGGATGAATGCCTTCCGTCTATCACAACATGATCAATTTGATTTCTCGTTACTTGATCAGGAGAAATCCAGGTGGCCTTGTGTATATCAAGATGATCTGGTGCTGCTAACTACCATGTTTTTGCTGCCGCGAAGACAATCATGCCGTTGTCGGATGTTTCTTCACGGAGGCTTAATTTTCCCACGGTGGGACCAAAAATATTTTCCCTTCCGATTTTTGCATTAATATCTCCTAGCAGAATTTTAATGTCATGGCCTGGACAGGGGTCATATGCTGTTTTTAAGCTGTTGTAAAATGTGTCTTTGGGTCTGCTCATATTTGTCTTCGGTCGGAGCATGGGCGAAAATGAGACTGATGTACAAGAACTTCGCTTCGCTGCGGAATATAGAAATTCGCTCTTCTACTGGAGTGAATCTGGATACGAGGTCTTGTATTCTCCTGTTAACCATAAGTACGCAGTCAAATCAATGTCTCGTTTCATGGCAGCTATACTACAGGATCATTTGTGAAAAATGACAAAATTTGTATTCTATAGCGTATATAATTACTCCTGAAGGACATAGACCAAAGAAGTTGACAGTATATACAAGTGGAGTGGTTGGCCTTTAAATTAATACCAATTATATTGTCGCATGTGCTCGGATGTGGGAGTTAAACTTTAATATTTTTAGGTATTACGTATTCAAATATTATTTAGTAACCCATTAATATTCGAGAGCAGAAATAAAACGCTAATCGCTTTAAAATTTTCCAAGAGGTTCCAGTTATGGTCAAGGACAAAGCCTATAATTTTCGCTGATGATAACATAAAACATTTGGGATGAAGTGGACCGAAGACTGAATTTGTTTGTTTTTTTTTTTGAGTCGATATATGGGCCACAAGCCGAACATCACAACACAACCTACGGTGAAGGGAATCTCGAGAATTAGCAGGGCTGTAATGAATATTGGGAATATTCGGAAAATAAGTCAATGTAAAGAAGAGGTGCTATTGATCTACAATCGGTCAAGAGGTCACGAAATATTGTTCAGGCTCGAAATAAACATCCGCAGTTGTAAGAGTTCCTGGGAGATATGGTCGGCCCCGTCCGACTATACTGCTCCGTTCACTGGTTTATAGCTGTTATCTGTGAACTCTCGGCACATATCAGCTCACTTTTTCAACGGGTGATGAAAATAGCTACCCCAGGTGACACCGCGGCGAGGTCAGTGTCGACAATTGAGATGAAAAAGGGACCATGATAAACCTGGGCTCTGCTATACTGGGCTCTACCTATACTATATTCCCCATACATGGCTCTTTATTGAAAATTCTCTGCACACCTAACCTCAGTATACGAAATCACAGTTGGTAAACACCTCAAACGAGTATAAATTTTGGCTGGACCTGTACATGGAAGCTGGGTCAAAACATGAAACCGGCTAAATGTTACTCAAACCTTAATAACATCCAAAATGGGACGGGATATTTATATGGTAAAACATGGACCATTATTGAATTTTCTGCATAAATGTTTATCACCCACTAACAACTGGAAATGCCAAATTGAAGGCATATGGGTTGGAAGAAGGCCGACTGGATATGGATAAAAGGGTCAGCAAAACAATAAAAAACGAAATAACAATAAAAAAGATAAAAATAACATAAAAATCAATTAAAGTTTTGTTTTGGTTTTTTGTAAAAATTACAAAAAACTATAAAACCAAAAATTATGCAAATAAGAACCCAAATGATCGCTTTGAGAAACTTGTTCTAAGTTCAATCAAAATTGGCTATGATGCTGAGTTAAGGAAAATGTGTAACAAATTGAAATAAATAGCCACTGTCAATCATGATTAAGCATCAAAGACAAACATTGCAGAAAAATGGTAAGGGCTTAAAATCGAAAAGGAAAAAATTAATAATTTAATAATTGTCTCCTTCCACATAGAAATTCATTGTGGTCGCCTTGGCTTTTGTGGCATGCGCCTATGCTGATATTGCGGAATTGGGTTACAGCTATCGCAAGCCCACCCCAGCTCCCGTGGCTCCTCGTTTAGTTGTAGAACCACCTACGACTACCTATATCCCACCAGCACCAGTAACTCACCTGGTTATTCAACAACTCAAGAAGACCTACCTTCCTCCGGCTCCAGTTACTCCTCATGTTCATGTTGTAGAACCCCAGATATATCCCCCATCACCAGTAACTCGCCATGTTGTGGTTGAACAACCCAAGATAACTTACATTCCCCCAGCACCAGTAACTCGCAACGTTCAGGTTGTACAACCCCAGATTACTTACATTCCCCCAGCACCAGTAACTCGCAATGTTCAGGTTGTACAACCCCAGATAACTTATATTCCCCCAGCACCAGTAACTCCCCTGATTGTTCAACAACTCAAGAAGACCTACATTCCCCCAGCACCTGTAACTCGCTATGTTCATGTTGAACAACCCCAGATAAGGTATGTTGTAGAGCCCAAAAACACCTACATCCCACCTGCACCAGTCCGTCATGTAGAATCCACATACACCGCAGACGGTTACCATTACTAGACGGTTCGTCGAGTTATCTACAAGCACGCGCTTAAGAATTTCGTTTTTTTGTTGGTTAATAAAATTATTGTTGCCGATTAATAAAAAGAAGTTTAAAAATTAAATATTTAAAATATGGAAATTGTTGTTAATGGTGACAATAATGGTCACCATGAGTAAACATGTCTTTAAATTCAGCCGGGGCGACTATTGCATTCCTTAAGTCGATGTGGTAGAAACGAATACGAAAAAAATATATATCAAAACTTGGACCCACATAAACAATTTTCCGCACAAAATTTGTTTACCCTCAAGCGAAATCCTTTAAAATACTGACTGTTAAACGAGGGATCGTTTCCCTATATATTTCACACGAATATTCTTCGCGGGGTGAAAGCACATTGCTCTTTGTTTTTAGAGCAATTTCTAGCCTCTATTTTTTTGTACGTAACTCCGCCAGATACCTCATAGGAATATGAAACATCAAATTAGGACGAATGTTCAAACCCCCCAAAATACCAAAATACCTAAAAACTTCGCCCAATCATGATAATTTTTGGTAGGAAGATTTGACACCCCATGAGAACCTGAAAAATCAAATTAGAGCCAATCCCGTGAAAAAATCTAGTCTAAACCAGTAAGGAAAGTAGTGAAGTCGGACGGGGCCGAATATATGATACCCTTCACCACTTTGGGTGTATTCAACAGGTGAATCTTAACAGACGTCGCATTATTGAAGGATCCGGAAAGGAAATTGGACCCATAAACATATCTTTCTGCAACCTATACTAAATTTTTCATTCGGTCAGATATAGAGTTGCTTCTTACAACGGGACAAAATTATGTAAATCAATTTAAAGCATATATCAGTCGGATACCGGTTGATTTTTTGGATACATATCTGATAAACATGAGGAGTTTGGTGCACCATTTACTTCAAATCGGACGAAAATATTTCTAAAAGCTATATCGAAATCTAAGCCGATTTCATCCAAACTTGTCACAGAATATCGGCCACCTTTTGAGTTCTTAATGCATCATTTACTTAAAATCGGAAGAAAATATGTATGTATGGTAGCTCTATCCAAAATTGAACCGATTTCAATAAAACTTTCCACATGGTGCACAATTTACTTAAAATCTGACGAAACTATATAGGAACTACATCTAAATCTGAACTAATTTCAACAAAACTTGCCACACGAATTCCCCACCTGGGGAATTCGGTGCAGCATTTATATCTAACTGATAGGTTATACTAAGTTCATTACGAAAGATATATAGGGACTCTGGTGCACCATTTACCTAAATTCGGACGAAAACATATATTGAAGCTATATCTAAATCCTAACCGATTTTCACGAAACTTAACAAACATCATTGTAGACTTTATTAAGTACGTTGTACCAAATTTCGTGGAAATCGGAAGATATTTAGAGACTTTGGTACACTATTTTCCTTAAATCGGGCAAAAATATATATGGGAGCTATATCTAAATCTAACCGACTTTCAGGAAACTTAACACATCAAATTAATTATGCTGTGCCAAAATTTCGTGCAAATCGAAAGATATATAAAGACTCTGGTGCACCATTTACCTAAAATCGGACGAAAATATATATGGGAGCTATATCTAAATCGGAACCGATTTTCACGAAACTTAACACACATCATTCTAGACTTTATTCAGTTCGATATGCCAAATTTCGTGCGAATTGAAAAATATTTAGGGACTTTGGTACACCATATTCCTTATATCGGACGAAACTATATATGGGAGCTATATCTAAATCTAAACTGATTTTCACGAAACATAGCACACATTATTCTAGACTTAATTCAGTACGCTTTGCCAAAATTCGTGCAAATAGAAAGATTTTTAGAGACTTTGGTGCACTATTTACCAAAAATCGGGCGAAAATATATATGGGAGCTATATCTAAATCTGAACCGATTTTCACGAAACTTAGCACACATCATTCTAGACTTAATTCAGTACACTATGCAAAAATTCGTGCAAATTGAATGATTTGCAGGGACTAAAGTCCGTAAATCGGACAAAAATATATAAGGGAGCTATATCTAAATCTGAACCGATTTTCAATAGGGTTCGTCCTTGTGTCAAATAAATGAGCTGTACCAAATTTCAGCCAAATCGGATTATAAATGTGACCTGTACTTTGTTTACAATTTAACATCAACAGACGGACGGACGGACGGACATGCATAAATCGACTCAGAAAGTGATTCTATGCATATTCTCAAAAGGAACCATGGGTCTATCTCGATTCCTTTTGCCTGTTACAAACATATGCACAAAGACATAATACCCTGTGTATTCACCACAGTGTGGTGAAGGGTATAAAAATCAAATTAGAGCCAATTCCGTGTAAAAAACAAGCCTAAAATACCGAATAATGGGGTATTACCATTGTATGGGGCTACCCAGAAATGTGGGACAATGTTGATCATTTCTGTTAGGGACATTTTCCACTCGATGATAATACAAACTGTTTAATTGCTCCCAAATTAGTTGAAACACGTGCTCAAGCTCTCCAAAATTGGGATATTTTAGGGTGTAGAGCTATATGGGGGCTTCCCTAAAATCTGGATCAATATTGATAATTTTTGGTAGGAAGATTTACTACCATACCACAACCGAATATAAGAAATTACAACCAATTAGTTAGACATATGTGCCCAAAGCCATCAAAATACCGAAGATTGTGGGGTATCGTTATATGGGTGCTAATCCGAAACATGATCGTAGCACCGAATATTGATCATTTATCGTAGGAAGATTTGATAGCCGAAGTGAATCCTAAATATTCGGCAAAATCCCAATAAATTTGGTGTACCCATGTATGGGTACTACCGTTACATACCTTCCTTACAAAACCAGTAAGGAAAGTAGTAAAGTCGGACGGGGCCGACTATATGATACCCTTCACCACTTTGGGTATATTCGACAGATGAATCCTAACAGACGTCGCATTTTTAAAGGACCAGTAAAATTAAAGGGAATTCATAAACATGTCATTCCGCAACCTATACTAAATTTTTCATTTGGTCAGATAAAGAAGCTATATCTAAATCTGAACCGATTTCAACAATTTCAGAAAACTTAACACACATCATTCGTGCAAACCGAAAGGTATTAGGGGACTTTGGTACACCATTTACCTTAAATTGGACGAAAATATATATATGGGAGCTATATCTAAATTTGAACCTATTTTCAGGAAACTTAACACACATCATTCTAGACCTAATCCATTTCGCTATCCCTAATTTCGGGCGAAAAATATACATTGACTTTGGTGCACCATTTACATTAAATCGGACAAAGATATGTGGGAGCTATATCTGAACCGATTTTCACGAAACTTAACACACATAATTCTATACTTAATTCATTACGCTGTGCCAAATTTCGTGTAAATTGAAAGATATATAGGGACTTTGATGCACCATTTACCTTAAATCGGACGAAAATATATATGGGAGCTATATACAAATCCGTACCGATATTCAGGAAACTAAAGACACCTCATTCTAGACCTAATTCATTACGCTGTGCCAAATTTCGTGCAAATCGAAAGATATATAGGGCAATTGGCGCACCATTTACATTAAATCGGACGAAAATATATATGGGAGATATATCTAAATCTGAACCGATTTTTCCCAATTTCAATAGGGTTTGTCCTTGAGTCAAATAAGTGACCTATGCCAAATTTTATCCAAATCGGATCATAAATTCGACTTGTACTTTGTTCACAAAAATACATGAACGGACAGACGGACATGCGTAAATCGACTCAGAAAGTGATTCTATGCATATTCTCAAAAGGGACCATGTGTCTATCTCGTTTCCTTTTGCCTGTTACAAACATGTGCACAAGGACATAATACCCTGTACCACAGTGTGGTGAAAGGTATAAAAACTGTCAACAGCTATTATTTCGAACCTTCCACTACGATTACATTGAACTGAAATCATTGCTATGTAAACATGATCTAACCCAAAGATCCGTCCAGCTAAGTTCAAAACCACGGTGAACTACATAACTGAAGACAACAACCAGTAATTAAAACGATCATTGTATACGGGATCATATCGATATTATTTACATTCCATAAAATCCACAGAAATACAACTGAAATAGTTGGCAACGCAGAGTATTGTAGCTCCCTTAAAATATGTTATGGAACATAGTGTGATATCTAATATATGTAAAATTCTTGTGGCACACACAGTGTTCACCTCCGAAACTGCTTAACCGATGATATGGTAGAATGATATGGTAGAAAACGCCTATATGGGGACAACCCCAATACACGGAACAACCCAGCTACCTATGTTAATATAAAAAGGGATTTATATGGGGACTACCCCTGAAAATGGGCGAAAATTCATAATTTTTGGGAGGGAGATTTGTTACCATATACTATAAAATAACAAATTACAGCGCATTTGGTTAAAGATGCGCTCTAAAATATGGGCCTATATGGGGACAACCCCAATACACGGAACAACCCAGCTACCTATGTTAATATAAAAAGGGATTTATATGGGGACTACCCCTGAAAATGGGCGAAAATTCATAATTTTTGGGAGGGAGATTTGTTACCATATACTATAAAATAACAAATTACAGCGCATTTGGTTAAAGATGCGCTCTAAAATATGGGCCTATATTTTTCGGCCGGGCCGAACTTTAGATACCCTCCACCATAGATATACTGTCAGGTACTTGAAATGAAAATAAAGGGAACATACCAAAAAGTGTCCTTTCTACAAAATGATTATGTAAACCATAATTTCAGCAATTTTTAATGAATATTTATACCCTCAGCCTTATGGTTAATGAGGGTGTATACACTTTGATACAGTGAAAATGTGCCTCGTCGAAATATTGGTTCTAG